CCCCTCCCCAGGTCCCCCAAACTGTTTTTAATTCATTGCTTGTGATGCTGGACTCAAGAAAACCGTTTTCTAGCCCAGGAACCGACTGAATCCTTCAGCTCGTTCTTTTCCCCGTATCTCTTTTTCTCTTCTCTGTCCCATTTGGGTGTCACAGGGACCAAACTGCTGCAGTAAAATGACTTGTAGGTGTTTAATGGCAAGTCATTGAGGAAGTGAATAAAAGAAAATTGCAGCATTTGCATCAGTGGGGAGCAAGGAGAACTGCTGAGCTTTGAACCAAAGAAAGTTAAATTTACCCCTTTCTTAAAGGGAGCCACCTCTGTTTGACATCAAAGCATCTCCTGTAATTTTTCCTCGTGAAATGCACCACTGTTAGAGAGTCACCATAGAGGCCCCTAATCTGTGCTGGTTCTGTTTATCAAAAACACACACAGAGATAAAACCCACATGTGCCTTCTGACTGCACTGTGGTCTGCTCTCAAACCAAATGTAACCACAGGTACATAGCGAAGGGGGATTCTATTTAGAAAGCATCCTCTGTTTCTCAGGGGTATGTGGAACTTTGAATACAAAATTATTTGGGGGTAAAATTCAATCTTGGCTTTCTGCTAGAGAGCTCAGATATTCAACTACCAAGCTTTGGTGAATTTTTCCTTTTATCCTCTCTTTTTTACCCTTACTAGAACATTTTAATGTTTTTGTATTTTTAATTATTATGGGGATATAATAGCTGTATATATGTTTAGAATACCTGTGATGCTTTGATACAGGCATGGAATGTGTATTAATCAAATCAGAGTCTAAAGTATATCCTAACTTCTTATTGATGTAGTCACTTTGTTGTGCTATCAAATATTGTTTTTCTAATGATTTAATTATAGTTATATTTTTGTACCATTAACAGGCCTCTTCTGGTCTTTGCTCTGTCATTAAAAAATAGTATTTTACGACAATTTTGTTTGTTTCCAGCGGGTAGGTAGAAAGGGACTGTGTCCCAGATGTTTAATCTTGCTGCCTCCCACTCTGACAGCGAGGACTGTGTACTCTTTTACCCTCACATTTCAACAATAGATGTTTTTGGTGGCTGCCCAGGGGCTTGTGCAACGCCTAATGGCTTCAGTTGGCAGTGACTGGTATTGTTTACTCTCGTGCTCCGTTGGAGGAAAATTCTGGTCTTAGAGAATGAATGATTGCTTAGGATCCTTTCTGGATTTAGGATTATGACTTGGGACTCTCAACAGTACTGCCCCCAGGTAGTTAGGAAATTAGGAGAATTATTTGCATATGACCTGCAGGTATCAAGGAGAAACACCAAGCAAGTTGCCAACACCTTCATCAGCCTAAAGAACAGAACCCCCAAGCCGTGTCTGTAACAGGTGCAGCAAGCCTGGTTTTAATGTTAACTTACATCTGAATGACATTTTACAGCCTGTGTGTATTTGAAATGTTCAGAAGCATCACATATCCTTGAGAAACAGAAACGCCTTTATAATTAGATCCATCATTTGCTTCACCTCTAATTGTGAATGTCTTAGTTAACCTAAATAGCAAAACCAAACCCACAAAAGGTCATTTGAAACAGGTGGAGAGTTGTTTTCAGGTTGGCTCACTTCTGGTACTTCCTATGTAGAGAACCTTTTACTCTCTGCAAAGACTTTTTGTATCAATTTTAACACTTAGTTCACTTTTACTCATTCAACAAATTGATTGAG